GTAGACGCTCCGTTTAATTTGAACAGTGTTTATTTCCTCTACTAGCTTACGTACTCGAGAAAACTTATAGACAACGTGCCCTCCAGGAGGAATCGAACCTGTGCATTCCTTTGCAGGAGGGACCACCGTCTGATCTGGTGTGCATTGACCACTCGTCTACGAAGAGCTTCACAATCACGCATAGTTCTTTTTTAGTACCTTGCCCGATTCCGAAGCTTTTCGTAACTGAGCGGTCAAATCACACTGGATCATATGGCTGTTTCTTCTTGTAAAAGGGGACGCAGGTTCGAATCCTACCGGAGGGTACATTTTCTTTATTAATTTTTTTCTCGACTACACAGACGAAATAAACACTGTTCAAAATAATCGGAGCGTCTACTCAAATACAGGTATCCACTTAAATAATTCCAATATTTACAAGCATAAAGTGGATGTGTGGATGTGTGGATGGTGTAATGGATAATGGCTCGAAATGAGAAATCGGAGAGCCGAGTTCGAATTCTAGTCTTTACATTCACTTATGCGCAAATCCCCTCCCCTAGGGATTAAATAGTAGTATTAATATCTGGAAAAATCATTGTTATTCTCATAAAAATTGTTCACACAACATTTATTCGCAAATTTATTCTTACAAAGGGTTGATAAACCGTAAAAAGCAAATCAATTATTCAAATCCGAACGAAAACCTGCTTGTGCAATATTTTTAAAAAAATGTTGATTGAGAAATTCAAATTAGCAGCAAAATGTGAATGAAAAGGAAAAAATGGTATTTTTGAAACGTAAGTGATAATTTCAAAATGGCAGTTTGTCAAATTGAGCAAGAAGACACAATAATTCTTTTATATGCCGCGTCCCTTCAAGACGTAGGAGATCATAGTTGTTTTGTAACTCTAAGCAGATTTTTTTTATTACTCCTTACACTCCTTATTCTATTATTTATACAAACTTGTTAGGTAGATTACTCGCATCCCCCCCGTTCCGCTTGTTTTCAGTATCTCCTGTGAGTGTTAGATTTTCCAAACATTTTTCCTTATTATGTATCCTAGAAATTTCCTCTGTCTCTTTCCGATTCTAAGTATAATTGTCCTTTTATTTTCATTTTTGTTAAAACTTCCTCTTTGCTTTCATGCTCCGTCAATGGCATTCTCAGCATCTTTCTGTAGACCCGTATCTTGAATGTCTCAAGTCTTCTTTTCATCTGTGAGAAAAGTGTCCAGGCTTCCCTGCCATATAGGCGCTGAGCACTATTTCCTTTGTTTCTAATGGAACTTTGATGAAATCAGCTTTTAGTATTACGGCGAGCCTTCGGATATCGGTGCCACATTATTTGTCATCTGCTAAAACTCTTCCTAGATGTTTAAGCCTCTGTACTTGTTTGATTTTAACCTCTTCAATTTGTAGCTCGCATCTTGGACTGTTTTTTTCTTTCTGACAACCAGACATTTTGCCTTCTTACAATAGATGGTCAGTCCTTTCTTCTCGCTTACTTTTCCTACCTTGTTTAGGAGACCCTATGGTTTTCTTTCTGTGTTTGTCAACAATACGGTGATATGTGCGTATTTATGATGTTAAGATTGTGCGGATTGATGATAAATCCTGGTAGAACTGCTATATTTCTTAGGATTGTAGCACTTTATAGGTTAAATAAATCTTCTTTTGTTGAGTGGTGCCTGAACGGCCGGTACCGCTTGCTGTGTTTGTTTACAAAAATGAACGAGTTCTTATTTTTTGGGTCAACTGTATATCAAACTGAGGTAAAAAAAAAAAAAGTCTTTGCACCTGCTATTTTCTTACGAAGATGTAAAGCCTAAAATGCTCTATAAAATGTGATTCAATCGTGACCTATCCTGTCAAGGAGTAACAATTACACCTGCAGATTTCTTCACACAGAAACGATTACACGACTATATATATATATATATATATATATATATATATATATATATATATATATATATATATATATATATATATATATATATTATCTGGGGTCCTCCCTTTTCATATAAATGGATTGACAGAGTGTTTGAGCAATATATCTATTTAAATACCCAGAGTCAATCTGATAGAGAGATTGAGATCTGGGTATTTAAAGGCAGCAGTCCAATTAACACTGGTAGAAATCTAGATTGTATGAAAAAATGGTGGACCCCATATAACAATATATATATATATATATATATATATATATATATATATATATATATATATATATAGTGGAAAAAAGTACTAAATATAAATTGGATTACTCTTTCAATGTTCTGTCTATGGATTTTCCAATCGACTGTTTCATAGAAAATACCCAAAACTCCATCGAATTTCAAATTAATTTCTTCGTAGATTGTTTGAAAATTTAGATATTTATCAAACCTTAACCTCCCAAATATGCACGTTAAAGTAACGCGAACTGACAGCGTCTAAGAATTTGAATGAAACCTGTCGTAATTTATTGGGGTTGTTGGAACGTCTCCCCTTTAAGGTAGTTCTTATCACTCACCCC